CCGGCACGGTGGGCAGCTCCGGTGGTGGTGGCGGGAGCAGCAGCCGTCATGGATACAGCGGCGGCGGCAGCAACAGCAGCAGCAGCAAGAACGCCGAGTCCTCCTCTTCGCGTGGCAGCAGCAGCCGCGGCGGCGGCGATTCCCGGGCGCCCCCCTCCGACTCCGGCAGCAGCAGTGAGTACAAGACGCTCAAGATCAGCGAGTTGGGCTCGGCGCTGAGCGACGAGGCGATCGAGGACGGCCTGTTCCACGAGTTCAAGCGCTTCGGAGACGTCAGTGTCAAGATCAGCCGCCTCCCGCCCGGGACGGGCACTGGCGACGAGCGGGTGGCCTTCGTCAACTTCCGCCGCCCGGAGGACGCCCGCGCCGCCAAACATGCTCGCGGCCGCCTGGTTCTCTACGACCGGCCGCTGAAAATCGAAGCTGTCTATGTGGGGGCCAGTAGCGGCGGGGGAAGCGGCCGGCGCCGCACCAGCCGATCCCCGGCCATTTTAGACAAGGAGCCCTATGGAGCCGCCGCGGTGGGTGTTCCGGCAGGTGCGGCAGCTACTCTCCGGCATCCCCCGACGGGAGCTACGCAGCGGGCGCTCTCCCCTGCTGGCGGAGGAGCAGGCTTAGGGTACCGAGACTTCAGGCTGCAGCAGCTTGCCTTGGGCCGCCTGCCCCCGCCACCTCTGCCTCGGGAGTTGGAAAGAGAACGGGACTATGGGGGCTTCTATGACCGGGTGAGGCCTGCCTACAGCCTCGATCGAGTTGCCGGGGTGGCAGCAGCTGCCTTTCGCGGAGTGGGTGGCACAGGAACAGCCAGCGAGGAAGAGATAAGTCCTGAAGATGACCAGAGAGCCAACCGCACACTATTTTTGGGCAATCTCGATATATCAGTGACCGAATCAGACCTCCGGCGGGCATTTGACCGCTTTGGAGTTATAACTGAAGTGGATATCAAGAGGCCAACCCGAGGTCAGACTAGCACTTACGGATTTCTCAAATTTGAAAACTTGGATATGGCCCATCGGGCTAAATTAGCCATGTCTGGTAAAGTGCTGCTGCGTAATCTCATCAAAATTGGCTATGGTAAGGCCACCCCTACAACACGGCTTTGGGTGGGTGGTCTGGGACCTTGGGTGCCATTGGCTGCTCTTGCCAGGGAGTTTGACCGTTTTGGCACTATTCGCACCATTGATTACCGTAAAGGTGATTCATGGGCCTATATCCAGTATGAGAGCTTGGATGCTGCACAAGCTGCTTGCACCCACATGCGTGGCTTTCCTTTGGGTGGGCCAGACCGTCGTTTGCGGGTGGACTTCGCTGACACGGAGCATCGCTATCAGCAGCCCTATTTGCAGCCATTACCCCTTCCACCCCCTACCCACTATGAGTTAGTTGCAGAGACATCTGCCTTTGGGGCACATCGAGCTCCACCAGATCCACTCCGAGGTGCTCGGGATAGGACCTCACCACTGCTGTATGAGCGTGACAGAGATTTATATTCTGAGACAGAATGGGTGCCTCCCCCACCTCCAGTTCGAGACAGAACCAATAGAGCAACTGTTTATGATGCACTTGAAAGTCTGGAGCGCCGACGAGATGGTTGGTCTTTGGAAAGAACTCGTGGGGAAAGGGAGCTAGGCAGTAGCACCAGGGACCCACCTCGAAAGCGAAGGATAGTGGAGGATGGAGGAAGACATTTGGACCGTTCACCAGATAGTGAACGATCATCTTCATCCCGAAAGCGACACTGCCCTGCTGCAGCCTCTCCACAAGACCGAAGTCCTGAACCAGGTATAGGCAGAGACCGCTACAGTAGTGATACAGAGCGGCCATCTTCCCGTCTGCTTCTGTTGGATCGCCCTTCGCCCATCAGAGAGCCACGTAGGGGTAGTTTGGAGAGGAGCCAGAGTGATAAGCGTGAGCACAAGAGTTCAGTAGAAAGGGAAAGAAAACATCGCACGCTCACATTAGCTGCTACCCAAGAATGCAAGAGCCCAGCTAAAAAGGATGATCACACTACTGAAGGAAGCAGTAGTGGGGGATCTCGGCTGAAGCCTCCACCCCAAAAGCAGCAGCAACAGGATGGAACCACAAAGTCTGTGTCATCCTCTAAATTGTGCTTGGCCTGGCAAGGAATGCTTCTGTTGAAGAACAGCAACTTCCCATCCAACATGCACCTCCTTCAGGGGGATCTGAGTGTGGCCAGCAGTCTCTTGGTAGAAGGAGCAACTGGTGGCAAAGTAGCCCAGCTAAAGATCACTCAGCGTCTCCGTTTGGACCAGCCCAAATTGGATGAAGTCACTCGTCGTATCAAAGTGGCCGGGCCTAATGGATATGCTATACTTCTAGCTGTGCCTGGTACCACAGACAACCGTGCCTCATCTGGGGCTGGTGAAGCTAACACCACCTCCACACAGCGGCCACTCAGAAACCTGGTGTCCTATCTTAAACAAAAACAGGCAGCTGGAGTGATAAGCCTCCCAGTAGGAGGCAACAAAGACAAAGAAAACAGTGGCGTCTTGCATGCTTTCCCACCCTGTGATTTTTCTCAGCAGTTTCTGGATACTACAGCCAAGGCCCTGGCTAAATCAGAGGATGACTATTTGGTCATGATCATTGTCCGTGGTGCATCTTAAAGCCCTAATGCTTTCTGTGCTCTATCCTGTTGCTTCACAAGCCCGTCTCCCTTTCAGTGTCTGCCAGGTGCTATGCGAGAAGCCTTAGCCAGTTACCCAAGTATAATTTTTAATTAGATGTGTAGCTAATATTCTTTCTGTAATTTTCTCTACACAGTTTAGAAGGCAGACATGTTAGCTGTTCATTAGTAGAGTTAGGCTACCTTTGACTATCTTCCTGATGTGCAGGTAGCAGGAAAGAAAGGTCTGCTTTAACGAAAATATGGAATCCAGAAGAATACTGTCTCTTTTTTCTTTTTTAGCTTTTAATTTCTTGTCCTTTTTCATTTCATAACTTTACAGTAGGCAAAAAAAGAAAAAACTACCCTACACTTAGAAATCTAATGTGCCGGATTTAAAGCATGTGTGGTTTATGTGGAAGCATATGCTAAGAAAGAAAAGTAAATTCCCATTCTGAGCCCTTTAAGTATTCAGTGAAGGCCTTGCACTTGAAAGCCTGAAATCAATATTATTCCTGCATCAAGAATCTAAAATTAAAATTTGAATTCAGTTAACTAACAGGTCATATGCCCAGAGGCAGCTGATACTTAAGCCCTGTGAGATATGCTTTTCACTGGCAATTTTTTTTGGTCACGTTAGAGATGCATGCCCACAACAAAAGCTTCTAGCAGGTCTATTCTGTTCATTTGAACCTCATGCATTTGAGGTTGTTGTGATACATGATAAAGAGCAGACAACTTCTTTACAATTCACAATCATTTTGTGCTTTAGTATGCAAGAAGCAGATGCTTTTTAAGACAAATGTGAATGCTTTTTTCCCTTGCTCATTGGGGTAGGCACAGTGAATTCCAAGTTGGAAACGCAATTCTCAGAGAGGGAGCTTAATTTTTATGAGAAGGTCTGCCAGAGAGCTATTTCAGTATTGCTTCATCCCCATGAAAATTGAAATAAATGCTACCTGCCAAGTATTTTTCAGGTAAAATGGGCATTATGCAAGGTTTTATGATCTGGATTGTATTGTTTTAATCTTGACATTTTTTCATAATCTTGTATTTCTAAATGTTGGGGGAGCAGTTAATTTTCTCAAAGAACATAATTTGTTTCAAAAATGGGTCTTTTAAGAAAAAAACAGAAACAAAAACCCAAGAAGGAATTTCAACTATTTTGATAGTTAGAAAAAAGAGTTGTAATGTGCGGCTTCAATTGCCAAATCTCTTTTTTGGTCCAAAAATTCTGTTAGTCCTTTAAGCTATGGTATGGTATTAGTCTCAGAATAAGAAAGAATTTTATTTTTCACTTGGTATAAAACAGTTCTGCCAGTTAAAAGGCATGATAGTGTTTTGAAATCTGGCTTAGTTACAACAGAATCCTTCTTGGTGTGTTATACCAGAAGCATGAACTGTTTTAAAGGTGCATTTTAGAGTGATGCCTATTTTTTTGGAACAAGTTCTTTCAATTTTAAAAACATGGCTTTAGCAGCCTAAATTCCACAAAGAATAATTATAGGGTTGAGTAATAAAAATTCAAATTGAAAATATTACCTTTTCTGTAATAATGGAGGACATATTTGAACTATGGATAGAAAAGCCAGCCACTATTAATGGGAAGTGTCATTCTAAAACGCGTATTATAAAATTGTTGACATGACCTAAAGCAGGTATTTCATATATTTCCTGCTTCCATGTAAATCAGTAGAACACATTGCCTCTTAATGCATGACATGAGTAGTACTGGGTTATCCGTGTCATTGCATGTGCCAGGTATTTGATGGCATATGCACTGAGATCTCTTACCATATTTGGAGACAGAATTGTTGGACTGATGGGCCATTTAAAGATGATCACTCTAGTAGCCCTTCAGAACATTTAAGCTTGTTCAGATTAAGGCATGGTAGCATTAATCTGCTGAATTCTCTTGTTAAAAATCCTACAAATACCAAAATCAAGGTAAAATGTCTGAAGACAGCATATTTACTAGAAACTTGCTAGCAACTGGCACCTTGGAAAATCAGAACAAATTATGTTCATTGCTTATTTTCATGATGTATGTAATGGTTACAGGAAATGGCCAATTGCAGGGATTTCAATCTGCCCTCCTTTTTTGGTTGTTAAAAAAGGCTATCCCATTTATAACTGTCATAGGTAAAAGAATTTTAGAAGTAATTTATCGGCTAAAACTATTCACAAGCAAAATTGTATGACACAGGGGCTAGAATCCCCTTGTGTAACTACGCAAATGGCATAACCTTTGGAGGCAGATTGTCCCAAGTTAAGAAATCACTATAGACATTACCAGTTTGCATGGTGAGTGTTAGAACTCAGTATGAAAATTTTAATATCTACTGTTATTTCTTAACTAGAGACAATTCACCTCCAAAATTTATACATTTGTACTATTCCAGCCATCACCAGGATTGGGTCAGCACTTAGGCACAACTGTCATAAATTCTGAAATTTGTGATAATCTGTTTGAGCCACCCAGGTAAGAGTTCAGCATTAACAGAAGTTGATTTTAATGCCACTTTTATATAAAAGCAAAGAAGGATACTTCTACCTTTGTGGCATTGTGGAGCTCTAGAAGGAAAAATGGGTATTTGAATGTTGCATGTATTCACAGGTCTCTTTCCACATTATGGTGTACGGGTTTAGAATGACAAATGCATCTTTATGTGAAACATCACTTAAAAGCCACTTTCGTGTCTTAGGATGAAGCCTCAAGTGGCATATTTTCATTAGAACTTAAATTCTTGCAATTTGAAGCAGTGAACTGGCTTTTGGTCAGTGGCTGTGCACGCTTGACAGTCTGCTGTTGGCTGGTAGCATGGCATGAGTTTAAGGCTACCCAATTACTGTAAGATCCACATCTATATTCTGTACAATAACTTCCTATTTTGGGAAGTCTAAATGAGAATGCTAGAAGTGGAGACAAGATTAGCATTTGTAAAGCAATCTTTAGTATATAACCCTTCTCTGGGCATAAAAGGGGAAAGGAAGAAACTTTCTTTGGTTCTTTAAGCTAGGAGATGGATTATGACTAAAGAAACAGAATAAGGTGTATAGGGAAATATCAGAAGTATCTTGCTGTTTTAGATGATTAATACAAATGTTCAGGGTTGCCATAAAAATCTACACAAGAATAGTACTTCTACTGCTTGTAGAAGGTTAATGGTTAATTTGAAGACTAACTGAAAGTGAAGAAATTGTAAATCAACCATGTGTTAATTTCCATGGGTTTCATTTATTTTCTGGTAAAAATGAGGATAGATACATTGGATGTGTCTTTGAAGATACATATTTCCAATCATATTTTTCAAACTGTATTATGGGGGCAGGGTCTGCAAAAATGAAGATGAATGTTACTGGTTTTTTTCCCTGCAGTATAAGGTGAGCCTGCTGCTGGAAGTAAACAATGAAATGGAAAATACATACAAACAGAACACTAAATTTTATGTTCTTGTTTGAGTTCCTTTTTTGGAAGTGAGAGAAATTGTATGAATTGTAAAGAAAATTCAGTTGATTTTTCTCATGGATTTTTATCTTTTTTTACCAGTTTAGTTGAATATTTTCAATTTGTAACATTCAAACTCCTAAATGGCTTATTGTGCATCTATAGATAGATGTTAATTCATTTCAAACGTTTTGTGCCAGTGAAGGGTGATTGATGCTTTCAGACTTTACTGAGAATACTGAATAAAAGCCCCGTAGTTCTGTAAATTATCTGTAAATGTAGGGGAAGGATAAATCTATTGTAAACATTTGTACTGAATAACCTCTTTTTTCTCCTGAAAGCAAGGCTGGTGAACTGCCGAAGATGTCAAGGGTTTCCCAAACTTTCATGGACCTTTGCGAAGAAAAGCTTTGGCTTGTGTGGAATTTACATGGGCCTCGTGGAAGAAAGCTTATCTGTTTAGTATTTGTGCATTTTACTAAAATGGCAGCTTAAAAAGTTGTGTATCTGCTATTGTGATGCCAATGCCCGTGTTTTTAAGTGGAAAATTGACCTCTTTGCTTTGTGCTGTGTACACAAGATTTCTGCAAAAGTAAAGGAAAAAACCTTTTTATGGCTCACACAGCTTAAAGTAGCTGTCACTCAAAACATGCGCTCACAGTCGAGCTGATTTTGTTTCATTCTAAATAAATGGTTTCTTTTGAGGAAAATGGTTTTTCTGCCTGGAAATGAATTGACGACAAACCTTTGACCCCTTTGTTTGCAGCTGTGGGGGTACTTTGCTGCTGCTGCTGCTCCTGCTCCATCTGCTCCATCTCCTCCTCGATCTGCTAGTTGTGGGTCTGAGACAAGAAGCAGGGAGACCTACGCTTTGATATTGACCATCCTGTTGTATCAGATCTGAAGAAAATCTAGTCTGTTGTATTGCTGTGTCCCCTTGTTTACTGTGAATGGGGATCAATGGCTGCTATCTCCTCATCTTTACGAGGAAATGGTGCTGTTGCTGGCATGCAAGAAGCAGGGAAAGCATCTTGAGTCTCAGAACAGTGTACAAATCTGGGACTGTTGATTTGAAGAGCTGGAGATCCTGAATTTTAAGTTCTTGATTTGTTTTTTTTCATCTAACTTGTTTGGCCTTAGTTCTGATTTTAGTTTGAAGAAAGTTTGAAATTGCTTTGCATCTTGTGCATAACGTTTCACCAAATTGAAAAAAAGAGAAAAAAGTAACTCATAAAATTAAGTTGGTAGCACGTTTCCAGACATACTTGAAGAGCTCCTCCAACTCCAGGGGCTTTTCACCAGAGTTATGCAGTCCTGGGTGTAGTTCTGAATGGATGAAGAGTTCCTGAGAGCTAGAATGCTGTCATTTAAAACCTGTGCCATTGGTATTGGTGCACTTGACCAGTTTTGAAGCAAATGTTCTACACACCTTGGATGTGCATGCAACCTTGATCGTTTCATAGGTACCACTGCAAACTTGTAGTTTGTAGTACAGATGATGACAGGAGGAAAAAGTGGTGACACTTTGAAAAAAATGTGCTATAATTCCTGCAATTGGGGATGTTGAGCTTTGGAAAGCTGTTCCCACTGTGCAGGAGTACAACTCTTTGCTGCAGGAGACTTCGGGGCACAGCTGATGACACACCACCAGAGCTCAAGAGGAAGCGAACAGTGCTGCACCTGCACCGTGGCTGCAGAAACTGCATTTGTTTGCCAGTCTTTTAGAATTAACTAGTTGCCATTTGACATGCAGATGGAAGACACCTTGAATACAAGCTTGTTCTGGTTGCCTTGAAATGTTTTAACCAGTGGTGGATAAAGAACACTAGCATTGTCCTGTATCCACGCAGGATGATTGCTAGGCAGCAGGTGCTTTTCAACAAAGGATGCAACGATTGTGTTCTGCAAATTTTGGGTTCCCATGACAAACTGCTGTATAAAACCATATAAAACAGGTAAGGGGATTTTAAGAGGGCAAACTAAACTGTAATTTTAGAGAGCTGAGTTAATTGCTTTTAGGTTTTTCTCATGACCTGAGACCTAAGGTTGCCTCTTACTAACTCACTTTTATACCAAATGCATTGACTTTGAGCACAGTTGAGTACTAATTTGAATTTGTCATTTTAGATACTGGGACATTTAATTTTTTCCGTTGATCCCTTCCCTGAAGCTCTGTTAATGCAGATAATTATGAGGCTAATAGATTGATCTTAATCAATGCTGAAATTTCTCTTGGGTGAATTAGAGTGCTGGCTAAAAAGACTGCTTCACATGGCTTCCTGCATGGTCCAGGACATCATTTTCTTTATAGGAAAACAGTGTTATTTTGTGCATACATAACAAAATAAATTTTACTTCACATTTTGGCTTTTATTGTAGGGAATGTATGTTGGAAAGTAATTGTATGTGAAGAGGTCATTAGATATCTTTAAAATAGTACGTAAATGATTCAGAGCTTTTTTAATTACTATTTTGATAGCTGGCTCATGATATAGTAAATCTACTTGTGGTGTAGTGGAGC